TAGATTATGTAATGAATACAACCATTTGGTGGCCGCCTCCTCCTCACATCCTCCTTTTGGGATCAACTTATCCTTTCTAGATTCCATCAAACAACATTTTCCTACGTATCTGGCCACATATAACTTTCGCTGATGAGGTCATGAACTAAATCACTGCATAAATTAAAATTATTCTTAATCTGGATCGTCGTGAAGCTCGTTGATTGATCGAGTGAGAGAATATAGAAAAGAGAAATGGAGATTGATGTCATGGAAGGGATATTTTTGCAACGTATGGATCGGAAGAGCAACATTAATAGCCGATACACTGCTCCTGATTAGCTCACAAATGTCCAATCAGACCTTGTTTTTTTGGGGGCGCGACAAAGTTAAAAGGAAAATTTGAGTGCTCCGATAATTAAGATGACGGAGATCATCCAATAGCGCTGCATGGCCCATGAATATGGCGCTCTGCCTCAACCAAAAATAATTTATTAATTTCCACAAGAATAAACCTCCAACTAATTAATGCTCTGTGCGTGTTCCACTACTTGGATATATTGGACTTATAACTAAGCAAACCACTCAAATCAACCACCCATTCATATAAATATTGAAGAAATTGTCATCTCAATTTCCACGCCTGCACCACCCAACTACCACAAAATCTCTACTGTAGAACCATGCATGTTTTCCTTCCCACCTCTGACTGCCGAAACTTAAATAAAGAATTACGATCCAAATCATGTGAAAGTATATGATAGCTAGCTAAGGTGTACAAATTCGACCGGGATTTTTGGAGAATGCTTAATTTCTGCGAAGTCATATCTATGCATGCATCCCTGCACCGCGCCCAAAATAACGCTGACGCAGTAGCAATGGACATTAAATAATAAAACACCGGCCCAGCAAAGTAGGGCCGGTCCATATGGTATTTGAGGCTTTGGGCCTATGATGACTGGTGACTTTCATTGCTGGGCCGAATTAAGACTAATGCCACTGGACACTTCACCTGTCTTGCGTTTGATCCTTTCAATTTAAAACAGATAATTATATGAAAGAATAATATAATATCATATGTAAACTTTATATTTTATGAACGAACAAGATTCAAATTCATGTAAAAAAAAAGTGCTCAATTATGGACGTGTTTATGGCCAAAAAATAATCCCGTCATGGAAAAAGACGTGAATGAGTAACATGCAATTTGCAAAAGCTGTTTTCACTAAGGACTTCCACCAATTCAACCAGCTTACTGGCAACTCCTCAAATTAGTGATAATCAAAATATAAAAGTGAATTATTGTTGTCACTACATAACATCTGTGTTTCTAGATTTAATTGTTGATATGCTTAAGACTTTTAAACACTGAGGTGATATTTGAAAATCCTAGTGGCCCAAGATCCATTTTACTTTAGAAAAAGACTTTAATTAATCATATTGTAAAAGATTGATTGACAAACGTGAAACACAAATGATAAATATGAGAGGAAGAAAATCAATGTCGTGTTATAACAATGCATTGTATTTGTGTACACTTCTGTCTCTTGATCTGTTCATTTCCCTTCCTCAACATATATAAAAGGCTATGTTTTTGTTATTATAGTCTCGTTTTTTATATCTCGTGCTATATGTTCATCAAGTATAATATATATAATATAAAATTTATAAAGAACTATACTATCTATAAATCATAAAATTTATAAAAAAAATACTCTACATTGTTTACAAATCACAAATAATAGAAATCCATTTTTTTTAAAAAAATTGCATATATAGGAGACGGAATATGGTCAAGAGAAGGTCAAAAGAGAAGTCATTGAACTTATCCATCACAGTCTGCACTTGTGGTTATAATAATATGTTCACATGCCAGTTCACATCACAATAATTCTAAAGGAGTAGTTCCTAAGGGTTCACGAGAACGCAAAAAGTGTTTTATATAACAAGACTCTCCGTTGCTTTATCACCAGATGTCTTGTAAACTTGTCTTTTAATCCTCTTTGAACAAACTCATGCTTATCTTTCCAGCAAATACTATTTACTTCCCACCTAACAATCACTTCATCTCTCAACCCAGTACGGAAGTAAATCTTCTCACCCAAGATATATGCCCATCACTCATATTGTATGTTTAACCAATTTACCTTTTTTACTTTACCCCCAATGTCACTTTGGCCTTATTTGGTATGGAGCATTGGAGGGTTAGGGTTGGAATCGGGTTGGAATAATCTCACTTTTAACATATTTAATATGAGTCACTTACTAATTTTCGGGATTGTTCAATCCCACTTAAATGAAAATACTCAAACCCACAACCTTTCTGATATTATAAAATTAATCTCGAGATTAAATTATCATGATCAAACTGCCCTTCTAAAAAATGCCCAGATCTGACTCTTCTTGTTCTCCTTCACTTGTTTTGCTCGGATGCATTCACTATGGATGACTCTGACGATGACTTCCTCTTGTTGGTGACAACTTTCTCTTGCTGTCGACGACTTCCTCACATGCTAGCGATGCAAAACAGAGAACAGAAGCACAGACGATGAAGGTTATGACATAATCCATTTTCTCTTTTCAGATCTGGTGATATGAGATTGATATGTTTTTAGATCTGGCGATGGGCGAGCAAGAATAGAAGTAGCAATGATGAAGGGTTGTGATGGGATGCCTCTTGTTTCAAATCTATTTTCATTTCATTTCAGATCTGTTTTCATTCCACTTTAGCTCTATTTCCAATCTTGTTTCAAAAGATGAAAGTTTACATTCCATTTCAAATTTGGGTTCATGTTGAAGATGAAGGCTCTCATTCCATTCTTGATATGGGTTAAAGTCATCTATTTCTTGAGATTGTGTTTGTGTTAGACTAGGGTTTGAGATCATCGTCTTCCTCCCTTAATTGTGCAAATCTATTCATCTTCATCCCCAATGGTGCTTTTTTTTATTAATAATAAAGGGCATTATAGTATTTTGATGATTTTTGATTAATTATAAAAAATATTAATGCAAGTATTCTATTTAAATATTACTTCACATCAAACGTGTTTTTAAAGCACTAATCCCACACTCGATTTCAATTTTAATCTCAATCCCTCAAAATTCATACCTATGTACCAAACATAGCTTTTATAACTTGCTGATGTAAAATTTGGCATTTTACTATGATTGATAATATTTTTTTCATTGTATATATATTTGTGCTTGTGTGGACAGTAATAATTTTAAAAAATTAGTGGTTAGGGTTTATTTTACTATGAATTTAAAAGTTTAGGATTTATTTTATATATTTTAAGAGTTCAGAGTCTCAGGTGATTTTTGAGCAAGAACTTATAGTTCTATTTGCTCATTAATCCAAAGAAAATTGAAAACCTCCAAATGCTTGCTTCATCAAATGTAACTTAGACGCTATGTTTTCTACTTCAAATCTTATGGTTAACATTAGAGTCCTATTCTGTAACTGTCATGGAGGCCTCATCTCCGTGCATGGAGAACTCCTAAGTGCTACTTCATCATTTATGAGTAAAGCTTTTGCACTTCTCAAAGCTCTTCATTTAGCTTTTGATCTTCACTTTAAGGCTTTGATCATGGAATCAGACTGTAAACTCCTGGTTGATGCAGTCAATTTTGCCATTCCTTGTCTGAGTGAAAGTGCTCTATCCTTATTGTTGAGATACAGGGTCTTTTTGCGGCAAATAATACTTGGTCCCTTCATTAAATTTTTAGGTTTGCTAATTTAGCATGTGACTGGCTTGCGAAAGAATGTTACAAGGAAGAGTGCCCTTGTGGTTGGATGTTAATCCCCTTCCCCCTTTTGCTTTGCTTCTCTCTACTGATGCCTGTACTTAGTTTATCTTAGTGAGTGAATATATTTTTTGGCCAAAATTAAGAATTTTTATTTTTATCAAATGATTATATAACTTTGAAATTAATTATACATTTTGGTTATTTTTCAAATTTCTTTGTATGATCAGGAGAAGTTGAAAGAATGTAGATTAACTTTCCCTTAAATTCTAAAATAAAAACAATTTTTTGTTTATATTTTTATATAAAAATATTTTATTTATTTACTCTAATTATCAAAAATAGGCGCACCAAAGTTAAATATGTACTTATTTATATTTTCATCATTATAGTTAATAGTTTTTAATTATTTATACAATTCTATATCACACATTCTAAATGTTATTATTTTGATGAAATTATCACATTAATATTTACTCATATTTTACCTTTTTTTTTCTTTGATTGGTTTGTGGGTAATGGAGGGAGGAAGATGGGAGATTTGCATAAATTTGATTTTTTTTAATAAAAAGTGAAATTTTTTTTAGTTGGTTTTCCTTATTCTTTCATCTTATATTTTCTCTTTATTAAAATTTTATAACATTGTTTTTCCCCCTTCAGAATTGAACTCATTAAATTTGCTCTCACTTTTTCTACTTAATTTTGATCCTTAATTAATATTCCCCATGAATATAAAATATAGTTTTTTAAATGAGAATGTGAAAAGTAAACTATGGCAAATTACATTATTATTTTCTAAAATTCAAATAAAATGTTTTAAAAGGCACATACAATTTTGCTCAATAAAAAAGAAAGAAAGAAATGGAGAGCGGCGTGAGTAACACTCCCTCCAATTTCATTGATAAAACACATTTTCAAAAGTTGATTTAATTTCATTTATAAATTACGGCTTTACTTTTTAAATAATATTTAAAATATATTTTTAAAATTATTTTTTATAAAAAATAATATAATATTAATTTTAAAATTTATTCTATAAAAATATATTTAAAATTTTTATATTTTATATTTTTTATATTAATATTAATGCAATTGAAAGAAATGAGTTATAAAAAGGTGAAGAAAACACGGAGTACAATTTATTCCGAAATGCGCGTCCCAAAACAATAAAAAAAATAAAAGAAGCAAACATCATAGATTAATTCGTGCTGTAATAAGCAGTTAAGTTCGATGTAATTGTAGCTGGTTAAAAAAAAAATAAAATCGATGTCATTGTAAGAAAAATGGAGTGCGACCACTTGCTTTCGAAGCGAGCTTCCCGCAGTGCCAGAGCCAATCACGACTATCTTCGGTCGAGAAGAGAGAGAACGAAGAAGATGGCAATTGTAGACAGCATTGCCAGTCTCTTTCTTCTCATCATGCTCATTCTCATCATCGTCCTCGTCTTCTTTGCCTGTAAACCATGGCGCTTCCTTTTCTCTTCCCGTTCTCGTTCCTCCATCAAGGTACTTCCGTTTCTTTTTCTCACTATCCTCTTTATTTTCTTCTTATTTTCCATCTATGAAAAGAATTGGTCATCTGAATTCCAAAACAGTAACGTTCTTAATATAAAGCTCTGCTTGGTTTCGGGAAGCCCAATCAGAATTTGGAAGTGATGTTCCATGCTTTTCGTGTATGTTGATTTATTTTGCGAGTTCGACCGGGGATGAGAGGAAGGGGGAGGCTTGATTTCAGCTTCTCCTCTATGGTTCACAGAAGGAAACCTCTGCGTAAAGGCTTAGACTTTGACGTCCTTTCCAGTCTCGTGCGAGTCCATTGAGTTGCTCCGAAACTTTTTCTTGAAGCATCCTTGTAGTGATTTATTGGAGGTTATGGGTTACAAACGTATTTGGGTTCAGTATTGATCTGGGGTTGCTTATTTCATTTTTCCTGTTTGTTCTGGCGATTTCCAAATTCAAGCGGACGGATTAAACTAGAAAATCCTTGCTTGGAGTTAATTGAACTTTATGTTTAACTTTATATCTTAGCAGCCAATGCTAGCTCCATACATCTTTCTCTATTGGTTGCAGCTTTGATGTGCGTGCCTATATCTCCGATGTAATCTTGGTTATATTTTCTTTTATATGATATGAGTTGATCAGTGATGCAAGAGTGGATGTATTTTGAAAGAAACATGTCATGCTTACGGTTCATGATCAAAGCAAAATGATTTGGCCACTTCTATCTTGAAAAATCTGTTTCATGATTTGTACTTCATGCTTCATAGTTCAAAGTTCAAACAATGTTCATTATCTCATATACACTATAATCCTTAATGAATGCTACTTTTGTAGGCTAATGAACTTGAGAGGCCTCTTGTCTTGGATGATGCAAATGTGGTGCATAGCCCAAATGGTGAGTTGCCAATAGATTATGATCTTGAGGGTGCATCAATCCCCAATGAAGGTCATTTTCGCCTGCCGCGACCCCCTGGACTCATTTATAAGCAAAGGCTTTCTGCTGCTTCTTGCAATATGCCTCAAGGTATTATACCTTAATGCTACTAATGTGCAGTCAAGTTATCTTATCCTATTTATGCTGTACTACTTTGCAATGTCATAATACCCTTGCATAATTATTTCCACATGATAATCTGGCTTCAGATGTAATTTCTGATCCTTCAGAAGATGTTGCTATCGGTCAGACACTTAAACTTTCCCCAGCCCAGTTGGCGGAGTTTCAGAAACATAACAGAAATTTTGAAACTGACAAACTGCAAGACTTTGTACAGAGAGATATATTGGATCAAAGTAATTTCTTAACTTCTTCCAGTTAACCTGTTGTTACTTTTCTCTGTATTTTCATTCTGGCTAAATATGTGAAGCATGTCATGATATCTCTCTATTAGAGGTGCAGGAAGTTGCCTTACTCTAGAGGTCATCACTGGTCCTTCTTGTGGACTTCATTGTTCTGTACAGTCAACAATTCCCTCCAAGCTACCGCTGACCCTGGGAAGAGTTTCTCCAAGTGATTTGTTAATAAAGGATTCAGAAGTGTCAGGAAAGCATGCATTAATAAACTGGAATTTAGAGGTAAACCCTCTTCCAATCAGTTGACTGTTAGATGTGCGTGTGAATCTTGCAGGATGTATATGTTACGTTAATTATTGTTAAATTGCTTTCAGAAAATGAAATGGGAGTTGGTAGATATGGGAAGCCTTAATGGAACACTTTTGAATTCTCAACCAATCAGCCCTTTAGACCCTGGAAGCAGGCAATGGAGTAATCCAATTGAGCTTACCAATGGAGATATCATAACACTAGGAATGACTTCAAAAGTAATTGTAAGTAATGCATTTCTTAATATCTACTAAACACATTGCCTTCTTTCAAGTTTAAATTTTTTCTATATGCAACACTTGTCACTACTATATGCATGATATTAACTGCAAGTCTCAGGTGGAATAAATTTAGTTGGTGAATGAAATTCAGTGTTTTGCTCCCTTTGCTGTTCAAAATTTTTTTGAGTTTTGAGGGTAAAATATATAAACTATCATGGGAACAGTATTTTTTGTCCTATTTTATGCATGAATATTTAGGACGACAATTCCACTATCTACTAATTTCGTTGAATGATGTAATTTCTGTTGTAATCTAGTGATTTAAATTTCTATACCACGGAAGCCTTTTTTTGAAGTTGACTTGTGGTGTATTTTTTATTCCTTTGATTCCCCAAGAAACAGATAAAGTTTATTATCCCTACACTGCTTTGGAGAAAGGATGTAAGAATGCATGTTTTCTTCTTCTTCTTCTTCTTAAGGGGAAAAGTGATTATCTGGTGGTAATTAAAGTTCCATTTTATGTATGCTTTTACCAAACTCTATTGAAAATAAATCCTTCTTCTTCTTCCTTTTGCATAAAGCTGTTTGCATGGGAATACTCAGGAAGAGTGGGCTATGTCTTCAAGTTCAAATGCTACTGTCAATTATGTGAAAACTTATTTAATGCACGTCTGTTTGATCTATTTCATTTTTCTTTTAAATGTATGCTAGGTTCATATTACTTCTCAAAATAAAATTCACATTCCCTTTGGAGTTGGTATGGCATCAGATCCCATGTCTAGGCGTCGAGGTGGGAAAAAGCTAGCCATGGAAGATGTTTGCTATTATCAATGGCCTCTACCTGGATTCAATAAGGTTCTGGATTAATTAACAGTGCTTGTTCTTTCTAGTTTTCTTCCATTTTTTAAAATTTTGTACATTCCTATAGTTAGCTAACCCACCTAGATGCTTAACTTGCAGTTCGGACTGTTTGGCATTTGCGATGGGCATGGTGGAGATGGAGCTGCCAGAACTGCTAGCAAGTTAGTGTTTCTATGCTGTGTTTGTTGTGTACCACTTATTTTGAATTTTGTACTCTGCCTTTTGTTTGATGACTGTGGAATGTGACAAAATCATGTCATGTGGCATCCCCCCCCCCCCGGGGCGGTGGACACACATTTGTAAAATGCTATGATCTGGTAACATGCAATACCAACCAATATCAACATAGAATATGAAAATCTATAGTAACAATGTTACTCATTCCATAGACTCTGTGCAATATATGGGGCTCACCTCGCTTGAATTATTTGTGAATATCTTTTGATGATGCATATCATCATTTCTACTGGGTTTCAACCTCCCTCTTTTGAGTATACTGTATGTTGTATTGATCAATGTTTTTCAGGTGATTCTTCATACTTTTAGCCATGAAACTATTATTTCTTGCGAAGTGTAGGTTAAATAGACATGCTGAGTTGCCTGTGTTGTTAGTTGTCAATTGTCAGTTGTTTCCTTGATTTGTATCCTTTATACTTGTGGACAGTGGTAATTTATATCTTTCTCTAATCGTTGCGAATAAATTTATATCTTCCTTAAAGACATTGTAGCTGAGACCATCTGAACTTAGTTATCATGTGACAAAATAAATCAAGGTTAAACACTTTCAGCAGATCATGCTTGCATCTGTTCTAAAATTATTCTGAATCCCTTTTCACTATTGCCATAAATTATGTGATTAATTTGCTCCAGCACTCTGTTCTTGTTATTAGTTTCTGACAATTGAAGCTGCTATAATGTGATATGTGAATATAAAGAGTATTGCTGAACGCAAGGCTAAGTTGGGACATATGATTATTCAAAATAGCTGCCGTTTTTTAAAATTCACAGATTTTACTTACTGAACCAAGATAGTTGTGGTTCGTAATGTTTGAAACTTAACCCTTTTCGCAATTTTTTTATCAGACTTTTCCCTGAGATAGTTGCAAATATATTATCAGATTCACTAAAAAGAGAGAAAGTTGTATCATTCCGTAATGCTTCGAATGTTCTTAGAGATGCATTTTCTCAAACAGAAGCTTGCTTGAATCACTATTATGAGGTATATTTTTCACCCTTTTGATCTATCTTTATTGAACCTGTTGTTGGCTCTTCTTATTACTTGTGGCATTGAATCTTCTTATTTTGGATTATATTTATTACCCTCCCATTATCTGATTCTGATATATTTTTTAACACCGTTATTCCAAAGTACTAACAGTGGGTAGCAGAAAACAGAATGTTGATGTCTTGGTTGGTCAACGCCAGGACCACCATCATTGGGAAGACTTATCTCCTTTGCAAAACTGCTAAGGAGATTCGGGGAAAATGTCTGAGAATCTTACACCTTCAAAGTGAGCACTACCATCCTCTTTGAAGTGGAGGGTCTTATTTGTGATTTTAAACAGGGAAAGGTCACTTTTACTGGCAAAGCCTTCATGAGACTCATGACTGGTCATGTTCAGAGGATGCGTCGTATTATAAGAAGCTGGTTGAAAAGAAAAGGATCGGCAATTTCCTTTTGTGCCTCAAACTCATGTTTTGATTAAGTAAGGGGAAAACTGAAGAGTGTTCAATCTCTGCCAACTCAGAGAGAGTGGTGCAAGATGAGGAAAGTTGGAGGAAGATTACTCAGCCCCCACCTCTGAATTCTGATGATTCCAAGCCTCCAACCTTTTCCTATTATCCATGGCCCACAGCAGACTCTTCTTTATATTCTTATGCTAACAACTCATTCTTTCTCTGAATCTCCTTCCCTGTCACGTGCTCCTCTCACAGCACAAGAGAGTTAATTACTCTTAGACACCTCACTAAGGGGGTAAACATAATTCTTCTCCAGGGATTCTCGTTCATTTTATTTGTCTTTTTCCTGCTATAGGCCTTAACAACCTGAAGCCCGTCATCAGTGGGTCCATCAAGTTCAAACATTAGGTGGAGGAACTGGGAAGTGTATGAGGGAAAGATGGAGCTTCTTGTGGGAAAAGTTCATGGAGAATAAATTTAGATGTGTTAACTTTTTTAAATTTGGGGATAATTTAGGGGTGAAGGGCTTCACTTTTAAGTTCAAGGGGGGCTTGTGTATACTTTCTTGAAAAATATATTCGGCTTCTCTGCTAAACTATCGCCATCCAAGTTCATTAAAAGGTCACATTCTTGTCCCATGAATATATATATATATATATATATGTTTCTTAAATGTCCTGGGAGGAAACTAGCAGTCGACATAACCATACAGATGTAGTGAGCAAAGACCTGAGTAATACAAGGGCGACGTTGAAGTTGAAGCTATGGCTTATTGGGTCCGCAGCTGAAGGGTCTTGAAAACTTTATAGGATGCTTGTACATCGGTGTATGTGCAATTTAGGGGGTTTAATATGGGTTCCAAGTGAATAAACTAGGGCTCATGATTTGGCTGGGCTGCTTGTTACAACATACAAGTTTGCTGTTATTATTTCAGCTTTACATCTTCCTTGATGGAGCCTGATGAGTTTCTTTTGGGAATTCTTAGATGCTTCTTTATACAATTCTGTTTCTGTTTTTCTTTTGGAAAACTATTCTTGTCTATTTCTCTAGCAGTTTATGTTGTCCCATGTTTTTTTCCAATTTAATACAATTTGCACATCCAGACAGACGAAAGATATGCAACAAAGTTCCAGTACTAACAGAAGGCTGGAACTCATGCTGTACGTGAAAGAGAAGCCGTTCTTCCTTTTATTAAACTCAATAGATTAGAACAGCTACACTTTTTTTTTCTCCTTTCCTTTTCAATCTTATCTTGTGCAGAGTCAGTTGGCCTATGTCTTCTTGGATTATAGTAAATATTGGGCACCTTTACCTTTCAATACGTAAATTGTAAGTATAGATTGCCCAGGGTATCCTATATCTACCATGTAGGAATCCTTCCTTCCCCGTCTCAAGTTGCTAGTAATCCCACATTGTATATACAATTTTGTCTTATGATAAATGTGAATGATGAAGACTTGGTATGGGATGCCCAAGTCCCACATCAAGTAATGTGAGTTGGTTTTGCTACCTCAATAGTTAATTTATAGGCCCATTCCATTTAAGTAGCAGTCAATTGGTATTAGAGCTAGTAGTCAATAGTTTTGGAAAGGGCTACCTTCTTGAGGGTTTTGATTGGTCAAATGTTTTGACCAGTGAGACAAAATTGAGTGAAGTGTCGTGAAGTGCAACTATTAGGACATCACCTCTCTGGAGGGCCAATTTATTGAGACTTGGGTAATATGGGATGTGATGTCTAAATTACACATTGAATAATATGTGATGCTCAATGGGATAATTAAATGGGTTCATTTTCCCATCCCACTTGATTACCCATCTTTAAAATTTACAAAGAAGTTATTTTAAATTTCAATTTATATAGTTGAGAATGTTATGCTTTATTCACTGTAACAATAAACACTTTTCAGGGATGCACGGCAACAGTGCTTCTGGTTTGGGCTGATGGTAATGAAAATTTCTTTGCGCAATGTGCAAATGTTGGAGACTCGGCCTGTGTTATGAAGTATGTTTCTTTATGATTGAACTAAATAAATGTCCTGATAAGTCTTGTGGAATTTATAGCAAGTCCTTGGTTGGCAAGTTGACTAGCAGGCTATCAGATGTTTTTCATTTATAATATGGTTCATGGCTTATGCCATCTTCACCAAGCTTCATTTGGTTGGCCAAAAGGAAGGGAAATTGGAAAAGAAAAGCACGAAAAAGGATACTTTTTTTTTTGTTTTGTTTTTGGGAAATGTCTATTATGCTTTTATTATTATTATTATCCCATAATTGTCTATTTCTTTTTGTTTTTTTTTTCAGTAAGGTTATGGAGATCATTACCGTTCCTGTTATCTCCTTTTCCTTTTCCCTCGTGCAATAAAATGTATAAAAAAAGCATAGTAGACATTTTTTATGATAACGTTGCATTGAATTGTATAGATCATATTCTTAAATAATAAATTTCTGTAAGAATAGTCAATAATCTAAGCGAAAGTAGATGATGCCATATTCTTTTACTTGCAATTGATTGCGTTATATAATTTTGTCTAGTTTTGAGTACTTCTCACCTGTGCAACAATTTTAGTGCCAGCAATATCCTTGTTTTCACCTTCCTAGTGACTTCCTCCCCTAGTTTTTGATCTTTAATGCACTTTATATGTAATTATTTTGGCTTACTGCTTAGGTGGTCTGTAAGTTTTGTGACCATATCCTTAATGCCTATATGAACTAATATTCATTTATTTTTTTGGCAGTGTTGATGGGGTAGAAATTAAGATGACGGAAGATCATAAGATAGCAAGTTATTCTGAAAGGCTACGAATCGAAGAAACAGGCGAACCTCTGAGGGATGGGGAAACACGTTTATATGGTATCAAATCAAATTCAAATGTACTTTTCTTGGATTTGTTAAGGAATCGGCAAGTGCTGATTTTGCTTCTCATCTTTATGCAGGTATAAATCTTGCAAGGATGCTTGGAGACAAATTTCTTAAACAGCAGGATTCTCGTTTTAGTTCAGAGCCTTACACAAGTCAAGTTGTGCACATGAATCAGGCTAGCAGGGCTTTTGCCATACTGGCAAGGTAAATTTACTTAGTGGTGTATGCATTTAGAAATTTTCAATTTTCATTGCAAGATGCCAGGACCAGTTGGTCAAATTAATGTACTTCACTTCCCGAAACATAAGCATGGTGCTTTGACCCTCTAGAGTATAACTTTTGCGTCTGCAATCGTACAGTGATGGGCTGTGGGATGTTATGAGCGGGAAGAAGGCAATTCAGCTAGTGCTTCAGGTCTTGAACAAACACTTGAAGTTTCTGGCGATAATGTATTTCAACTACTTCCTGCTCTAACAGATTGCTTTTTGCACTGTGCAGATGAGGGAGAAATACTCAACAGATGATGATAATTCAGCGGAAAAGATTGCAAGTTTTTTGTTGAGTGAGGCTAGAACACTCGGAACAAAGGATAACACCTCAGTAATTTTCTTAGATTTTGATGCCTTCCCCAAATTTTCTTGTAAAGATGAGTGTTAGTATAAATTAGGAGTTTGTGTTTACAGGAAATGGTAATATGTGTTGCTTTTCTCAGATCGTCTTCCTTTCCTGTGTTCCTCATGCTCAATCTGCGGAATCAATAGTTCTGCGCCAATTTTCTCTTTCCTATCTCGTCGCTATCTCAGGCGGGGCCGGACAATTCGAATACTCAACAAAAAAGTGGACAGAACATTTAATTAAAAATATTGTAAATTATACAATAGCATGTCAACGGGTAGCTTGTCTTTTAGATAAAGAAAGCTTAACTTCTCTTCATGTCGAAATTATCAATAAGAGATTTATATCAAACTTTTTAATAATTCTATGATCTAATTAGAAGCGAACAAATAAGATTCTTTTTTTATAAATTTGAGAAATATAGATTAGAACATAGAAATCCAAGCAGTGACAAAAACATATGAATAAAAATATTAAAAACGTAAACATATCAAAACAATACAAATAACCATCTCAATCTCATATTTCATTCTCAATGTTTAATTCCAAAGTCGAGCTTGGGAAGTGCCGAAGTGGGATTTAGGAAACAACATACCTTTGCTTTGTAGTTGAGTTGCTCATGCTCATCGGGTCATCGCTGCTTCTGGACTTGGATGGGAACAGGAGCACGGCAGGAGCTTCAAGCTTCGCACTTGGCAACTTGCACAGCACGACAGAGTGAGTGCTTAGAGCTGGCATATAGCTTATCAGACTCCAATTTCTCAAATTAAAAAATTTGAATCAATCTTATTTATTTTTTAAGTTGGGTTAATTTTTTTGAGCTGGGTTAAATTTTATTATGAGACTAAAAGTATAAAATTATACTCCCTCTATTCAAATTATATGACGCTTTTAAAAGAATATTTTAGTCTCTATAAAACACTTTTCAAAATAAAACACTTTGAGTATGTTAGTGTTTCATTAAATATATCAATTTTAATATTATTTTTTATCTTTATAATTAATTTTTATCTCTTTTCTTTTCAATATGTTAAATGATGATTATTTTTAAAAATTTATATTTTTATTTTTAAAAAATAAAATTATTAAATATGTTTAATAAAATTTATTAATATATAAAATTTTATTTAGAAATGTTTCGTAATTTAAAATGAAAAGATCATAATTTAAAAAAGAAATTGGAGGCTTGCAAATTATCTCCCAACATAACCTATACCTATAGTCCTATACCTTACAAATAATAATGATAAAAAAATCTGCCCTCCCCTCGTAAAAAAAGGAAGTTCCGCCCCTGATTTCAGGTGTTTGACATTTCGATTTTAAACTTAAATCATGCAACACACACAATTTTTAGTTCAATGCTCCTTTAGCAAGAAATTTATTCCACGTAGTAATGTTATCACCGAGAAATATGATTACAAATCAAATACTTAAACAACATTGTTTTAAGCATGAACGTTGATTTTGCCTTAACGATAAAAGATTATATGTATAGTTTTACTTTAGTTTTATAATATCTTTTATAACCTAAAACTATCAAACTTAAATTGTGTGTGGAATACGACATTTTAAAATGATATTATGAAAATTTTAAATTTTGTAATCAAACAAAATTTATGGATTATTCATCGTTTGAAAAAATTGAAACAGGCAAGCATGGAGAAAACTAGTTAACTAACACGATTCCCTGTCAGCCACAAGTCAATAAGTAACTTCATCCTTAAGCAGGGATCCACTCGTGAAAACACAATAAAATTGTGGAAAATTCAAGAGCAAAAATAACAAGTGGTTTGTTATTGAATGCTATGAAAATGAACTAGGATCCTGTACTGTAAATGTCAATTTAAAAAAGTTACTGGAAATGGGTACGAAAAACAATGACTTGAGTGTGGACAACCTTTTAAATAAGGTTTAAATTCTGTAAAAGATTAGTCTTACACTGATTGTGGAGATACTTTGGGAAAAAAAAAAATTGCATTCCCAGGAGAGCTCCTGTTTCGGCGGGATACAGATTCTTATTGTCCACGAGAGAAGGGGAAAAAAACAAAAGAAGGTCTTTGCACCTAAAACCCTCCAAAGGCACGTCGGGTTCCGCTCCCAGTCCCATACAGAGCAGAGACGTCGCAGAAATGGGAAAGAAGAGAAGAACCGATTCAGAGGCAGAAACAGAAGCGAAAGAGCAACAAAACGATTGCGAGCTTACTAATGGTGATGCTCACAAGATGAAGAAGCTCCGGAAGAAGGAAAAGAAAAGAAACATTGAGAAGGAGGATCACGAAGCCAAGGAAATGCCTACTGTCAGCATTGCCGTGCCTGGTTCCATCATTGACAATACACAATCTTACGAGCTTGCTACTCGAGTACACTCCCCCACCCCTTTCTGGGTTTTGTTTGATTAATAAGGAATTACAGAGAACAGGGAATTCCTGCATTTTTGCTCAGTGCCCAAAAACGATAGCTTTTTTCAAGAGGCCCTTTGTTCTATTTCTCTTTTCTCTTTAATACTGAGAATTCTTTTCATATTTCTCCCTTTTCAGTTGGCTGGTCAAATAGCTCGTGCCGCCACTATTTTCCGAATCAACGAGGTTGCTGTTTGCATTAATTTAGTGCTTCAAATTGTTGACTTGTCCCAATTTTCTATAGTATGATGAAAAGTTGATTAAGCTAATATTGCTTATAGTGATCGATTTTGTTGTCCGAATAGGTTGTCGTATTTGACAATAAAAGTAACATCGATAAAGACCACAATATTGCGAAGCCGGATGACACAGACGAAGAAAGTGGTGCTGCTTTCCTCATAAGAATCTTACAGTATCTTGAAACGCCACAATATTTGAGAAAGGCTCTCTTCCCAAAACATAACAGCCTGAGATTTGTGGTTCGACCAACTCACTGAAATGCAGCTTTCCTCCTGCTACTGCCCGTAACTGCATTTCTTAAATTTGTTTATTCAATCGTTGTTCAGTGTCTCATTTCAGTAATTTGTATTATTCTTAACAGGGCTTGTTGCCACCCCTTGATGCTCCGCACCATTTACGTAAACATGAATGGGGTCCATATCGAGAAGGTAGGCTTTCATGTTCAACTGAAATTTCTCATGCCACGTCTTCTTGTATATGAAAAGTAAAAATCTTTGTTCATGGAAGCCTGATTTAATTATCATTTGTTATCGACTGGCCCATGCAAGAGATTGTAACCTAGCACTTGCAGCATATTAATGGGCAGCTCCATAAGGTTCTGTTATATTATGAAAATGCTGTCTATGAATGTGGAAACATCGTTTCATCCCAAGAGAAATAATAGTTATTTGTCAAAAAAGAAAAGGAACCATACCAGGGATATTTTCGCACCCTATTGCTCTCACTTCGTAACCTGAAATATTGACATTTTAGTGAGGCATTCAAAGATTTGATATGTTTTGGGCTTTAATGCGTAATTCATGCAAGGAGAGGTTAAGTTGCTATAAACAGGGTCATTACCATCAGCTGATGTTTTATTTTATCGAATATGTTAGTTATATCTTGATATGTTGATTGATATGGCAAGAAGATTTATTGTAATGGTAATTACTTGAGGAGAGATAATGTAAAGTTTTAAAATTATTTTGTTGGAGTAGGATGCTCTAATTTTCAAGGATAAATTCTTCTCCTCGCATCTGCTATGGATGTGATTGCTTACATGCCCTCCTCTCTTGTTTGTCATATTCGTCTTTTGAGGAAATCACCCTGAAATACATTTAGTGGGAATGGGGAGCTCTATGGTGTTCGTTATCTTGTTTATTTTTTATTTTTTAATATTTTTTTTACCATTTTAGGCAGGCATATTATCCTATGTTTTATTTGCATGCACTTTTTTGCCTTTTATAGAGCGTCTCCTTTCTCCAGATCAAAACATTTACTACATTATTTGTTGTTTTATTCCCAAAGTTACTCTGGCCATAATTTTGATACATTGCCATAATTTTGGCAGGTGTCACCCTAAAAGAAAAAGATTCAAACTCTGGTGGAACACTAGTTGATGTGGGTTTAAGTAAGGTATGGGCATATTATCTCATCATGTACTTAACCTGGAGCTAAACATTTTGCTTTGCATCAACCGATGAGCCCCTTTCATTTCTTTGCACACTCCTTTGTCTCCTTTTCTTTTATCTTTCTTCCATTCTCTTTCCCTGTTTCTCTTCTGACGTTTGTCAATGGAGAATACCTTGAAGTGTTATCCTTACATTCCCCTTATGCTAGCTCTGGAAGACATTTGATCTGATATAACCTGAATGTTCTTTTGCTGTACTGTGCATAGATGGAAACACTTCTGACCATCTCTTCTTGTCCCCCCCCCCCGGGGGGGGGGGGAAGTCATTTACCAAATACGCTTGGTCATTGGTAAGTATTAAGTGTAATTGTGTATGCTCTAATTTAGTACACAACCTTTGCAGCATGTTTTAGTCGACCAAGAACTTGAGCCACAAAGAAGAGTTACTGTGGCAATGGGTGCCAACCGCAATTTGGATGCAGGTAATAATTTGATCTCTGTTTATCTGCCTTATTTTGATTTGCTTAAGCTGTTTTGCAATCATTTTTGTGTAAATTGTGTCACATGATTCTCGCCATAAACTATGCCATCCTAATAGGATTGTGCAGACTAGATTTTTGTCCTTCTTGCTGTTATATCTCAGCTTCTTCAGGGTATTGGCCACCTCTCCACTTCCAGCTGTGTGTTGGTCAATTAAAGAGATGGAATTTTTTGTTCTGTATTTATCCTTGGGGAATGGGGAAAACCAAGCTGGCTTCCTTTTCTGTGCAACCTTTCATTATCAGCTTGAGGTCTTTATTTGTTTATCTTGCAAACTCATTATGACGAATTGGTATTTCTAAAATGCAGTTTCAATATGCTATTTCTTTAGAGTGATGTTCCTTTTCGTTCTATCCTAGAATTTCTGTAAATTCCTTTTCCTTCAAAGATTTATTGCGAGGGTTGGTGGAGTTTTCTTCCATTGTGAAGATCATTGGAGAGGTCTGATAAATATAATTTCCAAAATGGAAAGGCACAGTTTTCTCAGCCAAGTACTTACTATGCAAGTAGGAACAATGTTTCACTGATTTTCTAACTGAAGCTTGTTATTCTTCTCTTGGAATGAATCATCACCTGCCTCTTCTTGCATACTAAGCTTTGATAAGGGGGAAAGAAAAAGAAAGAAGAAAAATTGGCATGTAGTGCAAGAGAAAGTATAGGCTAAGGTGATTATTGAGGAAGTGTAGTTCTGAAGGAGCTTCAGTTAATGACAGTGGCTTGTGGATGCTTACTATTTGGCTATTTGATTGCTTGTGTAATCTTTCTTTGGTTCGAAACCAAGTTTAATGTTTATGGAGCTTATTTACAAGGTTCTGCTTCATTCATCTAGATTTACCACATCAGATTGTCTCATGGTCCAAGCCTAGGGAAGAAGGATTATACTGGGGATATCAAGTGCGTTATGCACATAATCTGAGTTCAGTGTTTAAGGATTGCAAATACAAGGTATCCCTTCTCTCCATTTCACTTTCCATCTTGGGTACCATAATTTTTGTTTTACCCTAATTCATATGCCTTTTCTCTCATTAACTTCTGTCATTATGACAGGGTGGCTATGATCATATAATCGGTACCTCTGAGCATGGTCAGATTATCAAGTCATCTGATCTTAAAATTCCTTCCTTCAGGTATTTGGCTGTATCATCAATTATAAAATTCTATATGCTAGATTATTTAGGTGATAATTATAACTTGGTTGAACTACTTCAAGCAAACAGAGAAATACAAAATTTGCCTCTGCATTGGCTGCTGGGAAATCATATTTATTACTGTCATCTTTCTACAGTATGAGTAAGCTCTAATTGTTAGTTATGCACAAATAATTCATTATACTTTCGCATTGAACTTATTTCCTTTGTTGATTCACTCCGTGTAAATTTCTTCTTATTCTGTAAATGTGATTGGAGCCTAAAGAGTCTTCTTTTTAGTGTCCCCCCCCCCTTCCAAAGGTGAAATTCTTCTACTTAAATCAAGCTACATAAACTGAACAAATCTGAAGTGTAAAGGTGAATAAAGTTATATGTTTGTGATGATTCAAAGTTGTTTCCATTCAAAACTAATTTATGGTTTGCTTGTTTCTCTAATCTGGTAGACACTTGCTGATTGCCTTCGGTGGACTTGCTGGGTTAGAAGAATGCATTGAAGAAGATGATGCATTGAAGGTATTCCATTGTTCAATAATTATATCTATGTTGTACTTGTGGTTCCCCTGTGCCAAGGCAAGTGCCAATCAGAGATTCCTTAGGAATTCGAAAAGCTACTTTTGCGAGATGCCCTCTTTAGGTTATGAAACATGTTTTTTCTGTACTATTGGGTGATTTTTTGTTTTTTATGAGCTCTTTTGTCGTCAGTCTTCTAAAGTTCTCAGGCTACATGCTCAGAATTTCATATTCAGTGACATTGTGCAGTCTTGTATGGCTTTGTAAGCTGTGTGTAGTTGTCTATTATAGATTTAGAATTTGCACATGAAAAAGGACAACGGTGCTGAATATAATTTCCTTGCTGCTTCCCGCTACTGATAATATTTTTTTAAAAAAATAGGGGGAAAATGCCAACGATGTATTTGATACATACTTAAACACATGTCCTCATCAGGGGAGCCGAACGATCCGGACTGAGGTACTATCAGCCTAGCCTTTTTTGTCTTTTGCTAGTCAAAAGTGTAAAAAGTTTTGACCTGTCAAGAATATTGTCACTGTTTAATTTCCATCTTGTTCAATAGGAGGCTATTTTTATCTCTCTCCAGTATTTCCAAGAACCAATCAGCAGCGCATTGCAGGGTTGAACGTTGAGTTAGTCAAGAATACAAGTGGTCATGAAACATTCACTGCAATGGCATTATTTCCCGTTCATGGATCCCCTCAGATTTAGTTCAGGCGACAATTCTCCAAGCATTCAATGCAAAAGCCAAATTTGAATCTCTTCCCATACTTAACATTTTAAAGAGAGCACCATGTTGTTCACTTGAACTACTGTTCTTTTCAGGACCTTTATGAAGTTGTTAACACACCTTGTTTACTTAATTATCAACTTTCACGCTGGCCCAACTGTATATATGGCTTTTATAATTGCTTATGGGTTATGTTGGATTTTGTGCTGGTTCATCAATAAAGAAGATGCAGAAAGTAGTTACGCGTGCCAGTTGTAACTAATATCTTGCATAAAAGTGTTAACTTTTGTCTTTCCTGTGGGCTGTTGTTTCTTGTCCAGGCCTTGAATAGATGGTATCAACTAAGGAGAAAGAAATTTGTAATTTTGAAAGTTTTGGGATAATGAAAGTGTGCTTTCGTAATCCTCGAGCTTTCTTTTTGTCATAGATAGTCATCTCATATCACATCTAAGTTGGTTTAAGGTTTGGCCTTATTTCAAGAGAATCAAGCCATCTCTAATCAATGTGTGCTGTAAATATAAAGGCAATATTTCTGGTATATTTACTGTTGATCTTGATCCATCATCGTTTTCGCGTTCTTTTAGATTTTGGGTAAAAATCCTTGTAAGCTGTTATGAGTGGATGCTTTTAATCAGAATATAATTTTGTTGATTGAAAAATGATACCATTGTTAATATAATATAATATTATTTTTACTATTTTAGTTTCAATTTGGAAAATATTATATTAAATGCTATATAACAATATCTTAAATAATGCAATAAACACAGTGAAATAATTGACTGTTGTATTTCAAATTAAGTATTTATTAATAATATAGGAAGAAACTGATTTTTGCCAAAATATATATAATAGGAGATATTTCAATAAAACATATTTAACATTCGACTTAATAAAAATTTCCATTTTCCATTTAAAATAAAAGTTGTATATATTTAACAAGTAAAGTCTTTATCATATGATAAAATAAATAGTGCACAATTTACACGCACTCACATTTTGATTTATAATGAACAATCTTTCTTCTAAGCATAAAATCTGCTTGTTGAATAATAAATGATAATAATACATTATAATTAATATGATGTTTGCTTTTTTGTTGGGTAAGTACTGGGAAGTGATTTGTTTCCGTTTACATGAAAAAAAAAAAAACACTAGAAGTTTTAAAGAAGTTGAAAAGCTCAACCTCTCAAAGTATTAGTTACCAAGCTAAAATCAACAAAGTTATGTTTTTTAAGGGTTCTACGTCAATGTTTTGAAATTGTCTTTCACATAAGCATGTTAGACCTAAAATAGAGGTTTTATGTTTTTAATATAAAAAATTAGTATATTTATTTTAAAAAATAGTTCCAATTTTTTTAAAAAATAAAATGTACATAAAATTTATCCAACTGTTCGGAAAATTAACTTTTTACAATTTGGACCAAAACAAAAGAAGTTTAAATAGAAAAGGGATTTGATATAGATTGAGGGGCATAAATGTCTTACCATGTAAACTTAGAGCCGTGTTTGGATTCAACCAATAACAAGGCGCTTCGGTAACAAGACCCTCAAAGCATCCCCGTTTATAAGCGAAGAGAGAGAAAGCGGCGAAGAGAGGGTTTTGGGCGAAGTAGTGAAACAATGAAACGATAATAGGAGGGGCGTGAGCGGGCGTATGTTTGTATTGTCTTTGTAAGAAGAGTGTGTTTTTGTTGGTCACTCTAAACTCAAAAGGCATAGCAAGCACAGATTAATTCCCTCTTTCAAATATTCGTTAAATAAGCGAACCGTTGCTTCGCTCCCGCCACGCTCATGGCTCAGCTGCAGAGCCAACAGCAGCAGCAGCCACCCATTGATCATGCCCAGAAGACCAAGACTCTCATTTGTGCTCTCAACCTTGTCTCCCGTAACCTCCCTCTGCCTCCTGATCTTTTCAACACCGTTTCTTCCATCTATCATGGCGTCGAAGATGCTTCCAGTAATGGCCATGAATTTGAGGTCCCTGATGGGAGTGGGGGTGGAGCCGGATCTGAAGAGAAACAGGTGGATGCCCCTGCTGACAAGGTTTTGGTAGGTGTTTTACCTTAAATTTTTGCTTAATTCTTTGTTGTGTCTGATTTTTGGGGGTAATTGGCGGAGTTTGTGAGACTAGGGATGTTTCGGTGCAATGGGTTCTTGTCAAGTTTTGGTTTTTTTTTTCCAGGAATTCACTATGATTTAGGAAAATTAATGAGTTTTTGGTGCTTTGAATTGTTTGGGGGCATGCTATTTGCAGCTTAAGTAGAACTTTAGGCTTAATTCGTGCGAAATTAGCCTATCTTACCAATTTTGTTATCTAGACTGATTTGTTACAGTTCTTGTTCAGTTATACCCCACGTTTTTTCTTTTCCTTTTGTTTTTTTTAAATAAAGCTTCTAACTTTTATCAAATTTGTACTATTGTTTTTGTATTGTGCAGGATAATGCAGGAAATTCTAGAGAAGATTTGTTGACGGATCTTGAAGATGCACTATTGAAACAAAGACCAAGTTGTGTGTCGGGTTACAAATTGAAGGAAGAACGGGAAAGCCGTTATAAAAGTCAGATCAAGCATCGGTTAAATGAACTTGAAGGTTAAAATTGTAGTAAAAAAAAAAAGAAGCACTACCTTCTCTCTTACATATTTTGCACCTGTTTAGCTATGTAATCATGGTAGAGAGTGTGGGTTTTATTTCTTAGCACTGCTTTCAGCATGTGAATTCATCCAAGCAGTACCGTTGTGACTCCTTCCAATTTTTCACAACATTGATAGATTAATCAATCTGTTTTTGCAATTGTTATACTCTTAATGACCTTTAGAGCTATCGCTTCCATAATCTATAACACCATCAATCTTGGCCAAGGATTTGGTGGTAAGTGGTGATTGTTGGTTTAGATTTAATCTTTTCTTGTTGATAAGCTTGCTTGAGAACTGATAGATGGTAAGACCAAACTAAGTTATCATGTTCAGGGCATAAACGATGTGTTGGCTGGCCTTATGCATTGTCTGAGATTGACTAAAGTTATATCAACGATTTTTCAAAAACTTTACTTAGACGAAGTATTGTTTTGAGCCAGGATTGCCTTCAAGCAGGGGAGAGGACCTGCAGACAAAGTGCCTGCTTGAGCTGTATGCACTGAAGGTAAACTTGATTCTTGAAATCTTTCCATGACACTTAGTGTATTGTGGCTCATGTCTATCTTGGAAGCTAGATATGTGTGTGTATGTGTGTGTGTGATAGTTGGGCTTTTGCCTCTCTTAGAAGCTGGGCAGGCAGACTTTATTTCTTTTTATGCAATGTGAGGTAGGAAGCTTCAGTTGTTTCTGTGGCTTTTGAAATGTTATTGAGTTTGGCCAACTCGTGCCTTTGTTAGAAGATAGTCGGCACTTATTTCTTTTGGCAAGTTTTAAATTAGAACACTCATGTTTGCGTTATCCTTAAGTGTGGCTAGGTTTATCCAATGTATCAAGTCAAACATTTTGCAGATGCAACTTCTAGCTTTCTCTTCATTTTAATAAAATGTGTAGCTAAAGATTCTTTTCTAGTGAGGGTGATTAGTGTATATGTATATTTTTTTGTTCCATCTAGAGCTGAGAAATGACATGAACTGTGTCCTTGTTGGCAAGGACCTTTTTTTTGGCAGCTAGCAGAGTTACAGAAGAAGGTTCGATCTGATGTGAGTGCTGAATACTGGCTCAATGTTAAATGTGCATATCCTGACAGGCAGTTGTTTGACTGGGGAATGATGCGGTTGCGCCGTCCTATGTATGGTGTTGGGGATCCATTTGCCATGGATGCTGATGATCAGTTAAGGAAGAAAAGGGATGCTGAGGTGATTATGTGTATTAATATTTTTTTTTCTCTCTGTTTGTGTTTGTGTTTGTAATGGCTTTCCATATAATGTATATTATATGTTATATTTCATCTCTCTGGATGATGAAGCTTTATTGATCCAATGAGAATGTTCCATCTTTTTTGTTGATTCATTTGATTGTTCTTAGACTCCTATTATGGTTTATTCTGATGGTTTATGTCAAAGTCCGCTGATACTTGACTGTAAGTCTGGAGCTATATGGGTCGCCTTATCACTAAAACATACCTTGCAATATTTCAATTGGATAGTTCATGGTTTACAAGATTTTAGGAGACATGCTGAAAGCATCACTTGGTGACTCGCATGCATACACACGCTTTCACAGAAGTTGAAAAATAGTTATTAATAGTCTCCCTTTTAGCACCAAGGGCTCCAAAATGCTTTCTGAAGATGTACGGGTAGTTTTAAAATATGCAAGAGTTAATTGATGATGATCAGTATATAGATTAAAAAACAAATGCATATTTAAAAGAATTCTCATAACATATCATAGGTAAATTACAACCTCAAGTACTTGAATCATAAAATACGTCAATGTTTGACAAATTTTCTTAGCTTTATTCTAAAATATATAAACCAACTCTTCTTCATCAAGTGCAACATCATTATATTGATCTTCATTAAGTAATCCTTAAGGTTATATGCATCTTTGTGGTCTAAAATGTAGAAAGAATTATAAATCAACTAGGGTTTTCTAGTTGTCTGCACCTTTTTAGTCTACAATACGATACGTACTAGTTAAAGTAACATGACATGTGTACTGATCTGGAATTTTTTGTTCTATGCTTATTTTCAGTATCTGAAATGGACTAAAATTTGCTTCCTACTTCTCTTGTCTCTAAAACCTCCAATGCAGAGATTGTCAAAATTAGAAGAGGAGGAAAAGAATCAAATAGAGACCAGAAAAAGAAAATTTTTTGCAGAAATACTTAATGCTGTCCGTGAGTTCCAATTACAAATTCAAGCTTCTTTGAAACGAAGAAAACAGAGAAATGATGGTGTTCAGGTACAAAATTCCTTCTTCAGTCTTTCATGTGTTGCGAAACATTTGTTATTTGGAAGAAAATACGATATCTAAATTTGACATATAACATATTATATTTGAAATCACTTGTGACTACTTTTGCCGTGGGAATCAGGTCTACTGACATTTAGTAGTTTGTTTGATCTGTAATTGAATGAGTTACAGTTTCTTATTTGATGTCTTTCTTCTTTGCTGTCTTCAATCTTTATTCTTTTACCCTGCCTCACCCTCTCCCTTTTTGTTATTAATTTTTCTGTTTTAACATTTAATGCAATTCTGGACAAAATGAATATTGAAGCTTTTTTAATCCCAATTCATCCAGCTTAATCTTGCGTATGAAGCTATTTTATTGGTGGTAGGATGGAGTTTGATTTATTGCATATGAAGTTATGAAGTATGATATCTCTCCCTTATAATATTGCATTTCTTAAATTTAAGATTGACTTGTATGTTTCTTTTAAAAAAAAAAAGGATTGACTTGTATAGTTATTGAATTTGAAAGGGACTTTGAAGAGGAGAGGATGGACACAAAGAACATTAAAAGCAAATTATTGTTTGGATGTTACAAAATGAATTCAAGATGCTGCTGAAAAATTGGGGAATACTTTAAAGGAAGGAATTAAGAAATGGGAAGAGAACAGGATATGCAGTTGTAGAAGTATTCCCTTAAGTTCTAATAGTTGTAGGCGCATTGTATTTCCAACTTAATGGATATAGTTGCTGGAGTACATTGGTACTTTCTCTATAATTGATGCTTGTACTTCTCTTGTCTGCAAGGATTTTGTTTATTTCCAAAAGCTGTTAAAAGTTTGAGCATTTCACTGCTTTTCTGTGGCAAATTTATGAGATTTGTTGTTCTTCTTGATGCGTTGAATTTTTCATTTATCATCGATTGAAGAGGGCTTATGCATTCTCATAAGTAATTTTCAGGCATGGCATGGAAGGCAAAGACAACGTGCAACACGGGCTGAGAAATTGAGGTTTCAAGCCTTAAAGGCTGATGATCAAGAAGCTTATATGAGAATGGTCAAAGAGAGTAAGAATGAAAGATTGACTTTGCTTCTTGAGGAAACAAATAAGTTGCTTGTAAATTTGGGAGCAGCTGTTCAGCGTCAAAAGGACTCAAAACAAACAGATGGCATTGAACCTTTGGAAGACTCAGAAGCTGAACTACCAGAGTCAGATGGTTCTAAGAATGGAATATCCAAGGAATCACCTCCTGAGGAATATGCTGATATGATAGATTCTGATCATAATGGTGACACTAGTGATTTACTTGAAGGTCAACGGCAATACCACTCTGCCATACATTCAATTCAAGAAAAGGTAGGTGTCAGTACATTATTTTAATGCACTAAAGTTCTTTAAAATAAATAGTTTTCCCAATGAAAGATGTATTGTGTTTGCCATAATCAGTTTGACTTTCAGCCAGTACATACAGTTATTTCTAATGTTTGTTTGATATTGGGTATGGTGAATGCTTTAGTTTGGATAAGTAATGACCTTATGCTGGGATCAATTTGTAACTTGTTACCAAACAATATATGGATTATGGACAATAACATTCCTTTTGACGCAAGAAAGAACCTTTATTTGGTTAATTCTCCCTGGCTAGTCCCCCCCCCCAAAAAAAAAATAATGATTGGGTGTCGTCTCAATATGTTGTCCTACCCGGGACAAATCACAATGGTCTGATTTGCTTGAGATTTATATTTACTTTAGAATGTACATATAATGTGGGGGTATTTTATATACTTTTTCCAGAATAGTTTCTAATGATCTAAGCTTCGCTTTATATGGATGCCTTACACAACTGTCAGTCCGGTTCTGTTCATGTCAAACACTTGGAATTATGTTCCTTCTATGTAGGTTCTCATAAATTATACATGTTCAACATTTTAATTGAAATTAATGCAAAATTGCACAGTTAGTCATTTGTAATAGTATACCTTATATTGCTGCTCTTCTATGGAAGTTAAATGTGGTATTCTAACAATTTATATTTTTGCAGGTAACTGAGCAACCTTCCATCCTTCAAGGTGGAGAGTTAAGACCATATCAGTTAGAAGGGCTTCAGTGGATGCTTTCTTTGTTCAATAACAATCTAAATGGAATTTTGGCGGACGAAATGGGGCTGGGGAAGACAATACAAACAATTTCTTTGATAGCATATCTTATGGAGAACAAGGGTGTGACTGGTCCCCACTTGATTGTGGCTCCAAAAGCTGTTCTGCCAAATTGGATAAATGAATTCTCGACATGGGTTCCAAGGTATGTCCATTGGAGTTTGTAAAGTTACTACCTCTCCTGCTCTCTTGGTGGGAAGAGGGAGGAGTGTTGTGTTTGATGGGTTTATGTAAATCATGATCACTTTCAAATCACTTGCGGATTTTCTTGTATTCAGCATTACAACTGTTCTTTATGATGGACGGTTGGATGAGCGAAAAGCAATGAAGGAGGAATTGTCAGGAGAGGGGAAGTTTAATGTTCTGATAACACACTATGATCTTATAATGAGAGATAAGGCATTTCTCAAGAAAATTCACTGGTTCTACTTGATTGTGGATGAAGGGCATCGGTTGAAGAATCATGAGTGTGCTCTAGCAAGAACGCTTGACTCTGGGTATGATTCAATATGGCCAATATTTTCCTTACAATTTTTTTTTACACGTGTACATTTTCGAGGATTCTAATGATACAATTGAGGTGATTTTGTTTACATTTGGGATGCTTTTTTGAGTTGGACTTGATGCGCCCTCTTGTTTTATTTTATTTTCAAAAGATGCATATTTACAATCTCAATTTTCAGCCTCTTGTGTTTTAATTTCAAATATACACTTTTTCATCCAATTTTCTTTTATTTGGATGTACCATGCTTGAAAGGAGCGTTGACCTGTAGCTATTTATAATTTATAAAGTATGTTTAAACATTTTATATTAATTTTACAAAATGATTCCTAATTTTCTTTTTCACACTAGTCCCTTTTTTCAGTATTTTATGATATTTTTAATATATTAAATAGTATATAAATATTTAACTATCATCGTTTTGGCCACAATTTGGTCAATGAACCGTGAATCAGTACTTTCACCAATTTAATGTTTGCCTATTTTTAAAAACATTGAATATAACTTATAGAGCATAATTACTTTGCTGGATTTCCTTTTTCCAATTTCACGATTCTTCCTGCTGCTTGGTTGTTTTATTTGTTTGAGAGCTGTTCGAGTTATCAATTTGTTAATAAAGGTTTGAGTCAAGTGGAACAAATGTGATGCCTGCGAGTAAAATTTCAAGTTTTGGCCTTATAGATGGGGGCAAAAAACTTAGTTAGGAGAGCTACTTTTTATTTGGGGTCTAATGATACTTGAATCTGGATTAGTTCATAGTATTGGATACATGATACTTGTCCCTAAATAAAATAACCAATCTGTTTGTGCTGTACACATCTTGACTTTCTTAGGCCCTGCTGCAAAATTTTCATTTCTTAAATAAATCTCTGTGACTTTAATTGTGTTACTTTTCTAATTGAAATTGTATTTGCGTGCAGCTATCACATCCAACGTAGACTCCTGCTGACTGGCACCCCTATTCAGAACAGTTTGCAGGAACTGTGGTCCCTTCTTAATTTTCTCCTTCCAAACATTTTTAATTCAGTTCAAAATTTTGAGGACTGGTTTAATGCCCCCTTTGCGGACCGAGTTGATGTCTCTCTAACAGATGAAGAACAGCTATTGATCATTCGTCGTCTTCATCAAGTGGGTTTCTCTTCTAGTTTCTTTTTCACAGGCCCTTTTCAACTTCTGACTACTCTTTTTCACTCTTAGGTAATAAGACCCTTCATATTGAGAAGGAAGAAAGATGAGGTGGAAAAATATCTTCCGGGGAAATCTCAGGTCATACTCAAATGTGACATGTCATCATGGCAGAAAGTATATTATCAACAAGTTACTGACTTGGGCAGAGTTGGCTTGGACAATGGTTTGTTTGTTTGTCTGTTTTTGGTCATGCTTTCCATTTATCTCCTTGGTTGATTCTCTTTTTTAACAGCTTGACCCCAAAAAATATTTTTTTCAAAGTGCTTTCAATTTAATGTTTGTCAACTGCAAGTGTTTAACCCCCCCACCAAAAAAAAAAAAAATTCCCTTTCTTTGATCGGTTCTCAAAAACCCTTAGCTTGTTATTTTCAGTACATGCTTATGATTCAGATAAGCCCATTTTTAAAAAATAGAGCTATGAACCTTTTCTGTGCGATTTAGTTTCCTGTCATTTCCTAGCGATGTTTGGGCTGTTGGTCCCTCTGATCACCAAAATAAGAAATTTCCTATTGATATGTTTAGCCAGTTGCAACTTTGTTTTGGATAGGTGAATCCTGAAAAACCCATCCATGGTAATTGAATATGGAAATGGTTTATGATCACTCGGTGTGTTGAATTTTTTCTCTCTTTAGACTACATGTTTAAATCTTTCTGTTAGTCAGTTTAACTGAGATTTTGAATATTCTACCCCTGGTAATATTTAGGTTGTTTTCAAAGCTTTTCTGCTTACGCAAGATCTGTGACTAGTTTGTGTCGAACGTTTTTCTAATTGGAGAGCAACTTGTAGGCACTGGGAAATCCAAGAGTCTACAGAATTTAACAATGCAACTCAGAAAGTGTTGTAATCATCCCTACCTCTTTGTGGGAGAACATAATATGTGGAACAAGGATGAGATAGTCCGAGCATCAGGGAAGTTTGAACTCCTCGATCGTTTGCTACCAAAACTTCGCAGAACTGGGCACAGGGTCCTTCTGTTCTCACAAATGACTCGTCTCATGGATATTCTTGAAATTTATCTGCGTCTTCATGATTTCAAGTTTCTTAGACTCGATGGCTCAACAAAAACTGAGGAAAGAGGGACTCTACTGCGACAGTTCAATGCTCCTGACTCTCCATATTTTATGTTTCTTTTGAGCACCCGTGCTGGAGGCCTTGGTCTAAACTTGCAAACAGCAGATACTGTCATAATTTTTGACAGTGATTGGAACCCTCAAATGGATCAACAAGCTGAGGATCGAGCTCATCGCATTGGACAGAAAAAAGAAGTAAGGGTTTTTGTGCTGGTTAGTGTGGGATCAATTGAAGAGGTGATTTTGGAGCGTGCAAAACAAAAGATGGGCATTGATGCTAAAGTCATCCAGGCGGGGCTTTTTAACACAACTTCAACAGGTCTGTTGTATTCCTGATATATTATGGCGTTAGAATATGCTCACTTTTTCTTTTTCTGGTTTTTTTTTTTTTTTTTTGCCATCTCTATGCTCACTTTTTAAAAATCAAGTAGAGGATTTCATTTGAATTTTAGAGGAAAAAGGGCGAGAAAATAGCCTTTGGTTCACTGATTCAGCAGAAGCACTGAACCGTGTTGCTTATAATCATGGCTGAACTTATGTATTGTGTTGTATCAAGCTGCACTAGCAAAGAGCCAAAGAACAAATCATTGGAGAGACTGAAAAATAATCTGAGTCATTGAAGTCTGTCATATAGCTAAATTGTGTGTGGTTGCAGCTCAGGACAGGAGAGAAATGTTGGAAGAGATTATGCGCAGAGGCACAAGCTCACTTGGGACTGATGTGCCAAGTGAGAGGGAAATCAACCGCCTTGCAGCTCGATCAGATGAAGAATTTTGGTTGTTTGAGAGAATGGATGAAGAGAGAAGGCAGAAGGAGAACTACAGATCTCGCCTCATGGAAGAACATGAAGTGCCAGATTGGGTGTATTCTGCAACAGTGAACAAGGATGACAAGGTGAAAAGTTCTGCTTTTGGTAGTGTTACTGGAAAGCGGAAAAGAAAAGAAGTGGTTTATGCTGATACGTTAAGTGATCTACAATGGATGAAAGCTGTGGAGAATGGGGAAGACGTGTCAAGACTTCCAGTTAAAGGGAGAAGAAGAGACCACCTGCCACCCGACAGCAACACAATTGCTGGTGATAACGTGCAAGCAGAAGAAAGTTTTTCTGAACTACAAAATGAAAGCTTCTCTATGGCGAAAGAGAGATCAAGTGAAGACTCATTCCATGTCAACCCTGGTCCTGCCCCAAAAAGACTCAGGCAGGAAGTAATAAATACACAGAAACATGAATACGAGGGCGTCAGAGGAAGTGTTTTGAATGAGCATATGTTTTCCTGGAATACCTATAGAAAGAAAAGATCAAGCAGTCTTGCTCAGAGCTCATCGTTATCTGATTCCAGGGGGCAAAGTTCAATGGAAGAGCAAATTGGAGCTGATGTGCCATGGCTACCTATCTTTACCATAGCAATGAAGCTGTGATTCTGCTTTTAGCCCTAGGAATTTATCAGTACTTTTAGCTAGATGACACTCAATCAACGAATGATCGTTTCCACCAAATTCATTCTGGTATTTGTAATCTGCCTATCGGCATCAATGTAAAATCAATCAATCTCTGTCCATGATCTTATAGGCACAAATTTTGGAATTAGCCTCTTAACATTGGTGATTTCTGATCTGACTAAAACGGATGAATGAAGACCAAAGTGTTGTATAAATCAAAACCTTACATTAAGCATTAAGCGGAGGAGAAATGCGGAAAGTGATTTAATTAATCTTTTAATCACGAGTCAGATTAAAACGAAGTTTGTCACACGGGCCACTGACTTACTCTACTCCGGTGACGCCTGTTATTTTTTTCAAACTTTGTTTAGTCTAAAATATAAATCTAATTTGATAATATCAAGGACCTTTAATATTTTCCCTATATTTTACCCTTATGTGCAATTAAATATTATAAGTAATTAACTTATTTGAGAAATGTGTTACCTTGACATGCTGAGGATAGATTTGCAAAGTACTGCAAATTTTTACGTTGTGATTCCATTTAACTATCACTCTTGGCCTGAGTGCAGTATTATGGATAAGTGGAGTGTATCTGTCAACCATTAAGGGAAACTTTTATTTTTAGTTATCAGATATCAGAGCTGCCTTGGAGAGACAGCTAATTAAGGCATGCCAGCTGCTTAGGTTACCGGAGCATATCATCTAGTTGGGCATGATCTTTATATATATATATATATATATATATATATATATATAAAATTAAGTTTAGGTGAGCTGGGGGGGTCACCAGGATCAAAATATGCTTCCAATGAATACTTAAAAAGATAATTACAGATTGCTCACTTACAAAATTCTCACAATAACAATAAATTTTAATTCCATGACCTCATAGGTTATGAGTCAATTTTTGCGAACACAAGGATAATCTTCTTTCCTCCAATAAGTGGCAAATCTTATGCGTATTTCTATGGGACCAAAGCTTTTAAGCTAAATAAATGCGAATGTTATAGCATTGCTTCAGTTATAGTAAATTAATATACTCTCCTCTACAATAATAATGGAATCTATCTTTACAACGGCATGCTTTAATTATAGTTATTCGCTTTTTATTCATTCAAATATGTCAAGGTGAATATCCAACCAATGTTACATGCATGGCGCACTCCTCCCTCATCATTCTTGAGTCTTTTTCAGGGGAAATTCTTACATTCCTTTTTCACTCTTAAGTGGATCGCCTGCTTAATTACTGTTCACGTGACCAATCAAGATTAAAAATATAACTCAAGTTCACCGGAAATATTATATATTCCTTTAGAAGTTCAAAGCGGTACTCTTATCAACTCCAATAGTTTCAAAAAATATTTATTAAGCTTTATAAAGTAATTTGGCAATGTAATAAATATTTCTATGTACTAATTGTCTTTCTCAATTTATATGCAAGTACTTAAAAAACATACTCCTTCCAGACTGCATTATAAGTCACTGTTAACTGATAATTTATGTTTTTAAAAAAAGTTAGTTAAAATCTTTTCGTTCAAAAAAAAAAGTTAGTTAAAATCTTGATTTTATAAAAAAATTTGACATTTTCCCAATCATATCTTGAATGAAATAACTACAATATTTGATTTATTTAAAACATACTCATCAATTACTTGAGTAGAGTACGATAAAGTAAGTGTATGGTTCATCAATTACTTGAGTAGAGTACGATAAAGTAAGTGTATGGTTGGATATATATATATATATATATATATATCTTAATTGATATCTTGTATTTTTGACTAAATGAGAATTTAAAAAAATGACATGTACTCTCTCCAATCTCATTTATAAGTCATATTTTAAAAGGTTCATTTAATTTTATTTATAAGTTACGGTGTGGCTCTTTAAATAACATTTGAAAGATATTTTTAAAATTACCTTTTATGAAAGAGAAAAAGTAACATGACATCATTTTTTAAATTTATTATACAAGGGCATATTTATAACTCTATATACTTTTATTCTTTGTATTTTTTTTTATATTGGTATCAATAAAGTTGGCAAGAATAACTTGAGAGGAACAAAGGATTATTGTGAAAAGAAGGCAGCATTTTAAAAGCAAAGGCAAATGCTTAAACAACATACTTCCTCTGTTAAAAAATGTAAGGTATTTTTTGAGGAGTTGGATGTTCAACAATGTAAGGTATTTTTAATCTTTTAAGATATAATCATTGTTTTGCTCAAAAAAAAGATATAATCATTGCTTTTTTTTTAAAAAAATACTTTTTATTTATTATAGAATATTTAATAAGGATAAATATAAAAAGATAATATCAATTTAAAAATAAGTAATTATTTTATTAAAGAATAAAATTTTATTAAAAATACTTTAAACGGGAGAGTATATTTCGAAATGGGAGGAAGTTATATATTTTAAAACCATAAGAAAGAGTTGAGTAGGTACCTCAACTCCAACTTACATGATCTCATACGATAGGCATAAAATGAAGGCCAAACATATATAGCAAGACAAATGCCAAATTACCCCAACAACCCCCCCCCCCCTTCTTTTTTTATTTGGGGAAGGGGTGCTCAACTCAGTCTCTATTTTGACTCATGGATCTGCTCTCTTTTTTTAGAATAGACGGCCAAATAGCAACAATAATGCAGATGCTTGGACGGAGTCAGATGAGAAAAGAAGCCAAACGGTTGAAAACTTTCTTGGCATTATCGGTTTCGGGATTGAAGATGTGGAAGCAATGATCCTCACCTTCAACTTCATACAATTCAACTTCACCTTTCCACCCACTCTCCTTCACTGCCTCGTAGTACAGAACCACTCTGTCTCTAAGCTGATCTTTGCCACAAACATAAACAAGTAGCTTAGAGCACCCCATGCTGGCCAAGCTAGGAGCGCCATCCACCGTCGGGTTGATCGCCGGATTATCGATCCCTCCCGGTGCTGATGGGTACAAGAAGTTCCACAGTAAAAGCGGCAGGCTCTGTTCGTGCCCCTCCTTTGGTTCAGATCCGATGGGCTTCGATCCCCAGAAGAACGGGCACGAAAGGAAGCCGCCCGCTAATTTCACACCACCAGGTAAATCTTCCGCCCCACATCGCATGGCTATGTTGTGCACGATATTTCCACCGGCGCTGTCACCGCCGAGGTAAACTCTGTTGAAATCGCCGTGATTGAGGAGCCATGGTTCGCCGGCGTTGGTGGGCGTTGAATGGGAAGAAACCCATTTGAGAGAGTCCCAGCAATCTTCGAAGGCTGCCGGAAGACGGTGCTCTGGGGCAAGCCTGTACTCAACGGAGACGGCGATGACATTAGCCTCGGCGGCTATGAGGTTGAGGTAGCGTTGGTCGAGGAAGGAGAAGGCGGATTCGAGGCAGAATCCACCGCCGTGAAAGTAGACCAAGATGGGAAGCTTCTGGACTTTAGATTGGACGGACCTGGGGAGATAAAGGCGAGCGGAGATGGAAGGGTCGTCGGAGATGACGACGTCTTTGGATGAAACTCCGGTGTCGTTGTCATGGAGAGATGGTGGGACAATGGGGGACCCAAAGAGGCGTTCGACGGTGCCATCCTTGTAGAGTCGGATAAGATTAGGAAACTCTATTTCTATCTCTTTTGTTGCACTTGATGTAGCAGAGGCAGCGGAAGCCATTGAAATTACAGAGGAAACAGGGTATCAGAAACAGCAAGAGCGATTCTATGGAACTGAGAAGAGAATAGAAGAGAAGAGGGTGAACAAGTGATGTTCGAAGTTTCAATACATTTTTATAGACAAAACAATCATCAACATATCATTTAAATAATAATAACGTGTCGCAATCAAAAAAGATATATGTCCCCGAGGCAAAGTACGTGCCAGTTGTAATACAATTTTCCGCTGGCTTTCAGCTACTCCACCGAATCAAGGGATTTCAGCTTTAACGATTCTTTAGGTTATAAATGGAATGAAATTAAAAAAAATAAAAATAAATTAAATCTCCTAATATCACATGCTATAAATATAAAAATCACTGCACCTTTTACAAACCTAACCAATTATTATTTTAAATTTTATAAACTAAATTAACTTTTTATTTAGAAACATGGTTCATCTTTGGTTCCCATCTTGATTAATTTAATTTTATTTTTATTTTTTTAATTCATTACATTCATTTTCTTTCTAGTAAGCAAATGAACTCTGAATATATCTTAAAATTAAAAAATATCTAATTTTAACCCTATTAGAAGTAGAAAAAAAAATACATAGTATATGATAAGTCATAAAATTTATAATATGCGTAAATATGAAAAAGGATATTGAATGACTTTCCACTTGCCTTATATTAAGAATTAAATAATCTTTCTAAAAAATGCCCCCATAATATGGATAGAATGGAGTATATTATAAGATTTTTAACAAAATTATGCCCACCAATAAACTAGTTAATAATTATATTTAAAATTATATTTTCTCATGTTTGTGCTTATTTAATAGGATATCTCAATTAGAAATTCTTATTAATTACCACACCCCTTAATTAAATATATTTTTAGAGAAAGCCTTATTAATTATTTTCTCCATCCTAATTTATAATATACTTTTGATGAATATTTAATATTTTAAAATATAATATACTATGATAAAAATAAAATTTTACCAATAGTATTTTTTAATAGTACCTTTTTTATTATATTCTCTCTCTCTTGCTAGAAGTCTCTCACTCTTTAATTTTATTAAATGAAAGACGTTTTTTAAAATTTATAATTTTATTTTAAAAAATAAGCAAGCTGTAAAGTAAATCTAATAAAGTACGTAAGATTTTATTTAAAAATATTTTATAAATTAAAATAAAAAATATATATTTTAAAAAATTCAAAATATTTTATATTTTTTATCGTGATACTTCAAAAAAAAAATGTCTCAAAATATCATACAGGAGTATAGAACTAGGAGAATTATGCCTGCATCTCACTGGTGGCAGCGCCAGACGCTGAGCCACATGCACCTAATTTTATTTAAAAGTTAATATTTTTTTTTGAAAAAATAAGTAATTTAATAATTAAAAATACTGATTATTCTATGAAAAAAATACAATAACATAAATAGTGTAATCGTAATTTTTTAAAAAATTATATTAAATTGGTTAATATAATCTTTTATATAAATAATTAAATATGCTCTTTATATACTATTTAAAAATTAAAATATTATATATCTAATCAGCGTTTGAGCTCATATATTTGTACTTAGTTTAGGAATGCGAAATATCATGAGTGCAGATGTAAAATTATAAAATTTACATATTCTATTCATAATTTTATTTTCAAAGTAAAGGTGCATCTGCACCCTGATTATAACGTGCGCCACGGCATCCACCCAATATACTAGAATATGATAAAGTTTGTTGAAAACTTGAATACATAAATTGATATTGTTTTGGCCAAAAAAAAAAACTACATAAATTGATATTGTACTTGTGCTCAATAAATTTTATGTTTCTAAAGCGCTGCATGAGATATGAGAATAGTCCCTCCCGTGACAATTTTCTTGTCAATTTATTAATTTTTTTTTTTTGCCGTAAGTCATTTGAGTGGCCCTTGGAGGAAATGATGGAGAATTAGTGTGAAAGGAGAAAATTGCAGTTTCTTGGCTATTAAAATTGACTTGAAAAAAATCATATGATAGAGTTAATTGGAACTTCTTGAAGAATTGCCAATCAAAACTTCAATTACTGAGTTAGATAGTGAATGTTATATGAAATTGTATAACCACTTTTTCTATGCAATTCATTTGGAATGGGGGAAGAGCTTATTCATTCAAACCACCAAGAAGTGTTGGACAAGGCGATAATATCTGTGCTTATCTTCTTATGATTTCTATGGAGAAACTTGCCCATTTGATCTAGCAAAAAATGGATGATCGTGAATAGAAGCCAGTCAAAGTCTGTAAGGATAGCCCTCTTATCTCTCATTTGCTTTTTGTTGATAATATTTTTCTTTTTACAGAAGCTTCTCTTCAATAGTTTGATGTAATTAATGATTGCTTAAATCAGCTCTATGAAAATTCATGACTTAAGATTAATGCAACAAAGATCAAGGTGTTCTTCTCCTTCAATGTATCTTACCATAAAAGCTTGGAGTTGAGTAATGCTCTCGATTTCTCTTACACCTTGGACCTTGCCAAGTGCCTGAGAGTACCAATCCTTCACAAGCGAGTAGATAAAAATATGTACCAAGAAGCTATTGATAAGGTAGAAAAAAGGTTGACTAATTGGAAGGCTAATTCACTTACCATGTTGATCAATTTTGTCAATTATAGTATTCCTACTTACACCATGCAAACAACTAGCATCCCAGCTACAACATGTGATGAACTGGAGAGGGCAAACAGCAACTTCCTTTGGAGTATTACTAGTGAAAAGAGAAAAGTGCATCTAGTTACTTTGGGTAAAGTATGTAGACCTAACACTCATAGAGGAAATGGAATTAAGCATGCGCAACCACATAATCAAGCATTTTAGATGAAGCTGGGTTGGCATATTATCAAACATCGAGATGACCTTTGGGTTCAAGTTATAAAAAGTAAATATAAATATGGTTTTGATATCCTTCTGACTATTAATAAGAAAAGACCATGTTCTATTATATGGTCCAGAATTGAAGCCACTTGGGATTTTATCCAAACTAGGACCATTATTAGTAAAGATCGATAGGATGCTAGTTGGAAGCAAAGCCAGAGTGGCTGATTCTTGGTTAAGTTTGCCTACAAAAAGGTGGCTCAACATATAATTGATTACAATAGCACTTAAGAGCGAATCTAAAAGCTTCAAGTCTCAAAACTCTAAGTCTTTTTTATGGTTATTATATCATAACAAATTGCTTACTAATACAAGTCAAATGCAACATGGAATGCTCTTGGATGTCTGGTGTGAGACCTGTCAAGATGTTATGGAGGATCTCATCCACTATCCTACGAGAGTGCCCAATCACAAAAAGCTTTTGGGTGGAACATATTGCACATAAGGGCAGAGTGAAGTTCTTTGGTGTGGATCAGATGGAATCTGCAATCCTAAAGAAAGAAGAGATGCACTCCTTGCAGCTCTTTCTTTTCTATTGTGTGTTGGCTCCTTTGGAGAAGATGGAATGAGAATGTTTTTCAAGACAAAACCACTTCAAATGCTACTATTGATGCTCAAAGTCTAATAGTTATAAACATTTTTAAAGAATATCAAAGCAAGCTCGCAGGAATTGTGTGGTGGAGGCATACTAGCCCTATCCTTAGTGGAATTTGGTACCCACCAACTGATGGATGGAATAAATTGATGTGGATGGTGTGTATGTTGTAACAGAAAATATTTTTGGATGTGGTGGTTTGATTCGCAATCATAAGGGAGAATTCTAGAGTGAACTCATGTTCAAGATGAGTGATGGAGACCCATTACATGCCAAGTCGTGGGCTTATTTGTAGGGGGCTTAAAGTTATTTGGATCTTGGATATATAAAGATTATTCTTGAATCGAATTCCTTGGAGGCTATTGAAGCAATAAATGGAGCAATCTCTCTCTCAATTGGATTCTGATTTGTCTCAAAAATACAAGTCCTATTGAATCGTGCCTGAAAAGTACATGTTCAAATAATCTCTAGATATGGTAATGAAACAACAGATGTCCTTACTAAGAAGGCCCTATCGTGCATAGCTAGGTTTCATTCTTTGAATTTTTCTTCTTATGACTTAATTCTTATGATACAACAAGACACTCTTACTATGGTGTAGTTTATTTGTTATCAAAAAGAAAAAAGATAAAGAAAATCGCAGCCAGTTTGGTCAAAAACGTCTCCCGGAGAAAGTGGTGGACTAGGTGATGACATGGAGGAGGAAAAAGATTATTTAATTTATAAAGAGATTAATATATATATATATATATATATATATAACAAGATAAAACGACGAATTAAAAAATAAACATCACGAGCAATGAACCCAGTGGGAGGTTTCTTAAGAGAAAGATGTTAAGGAACTTGTCCCAACGAATGATTCTTATATAAGCTGAAGCATTCTCTGGAAAGGGAGGAAAGTGTGAACAGTAATTCGCCGTAGTAGCACATGCGAGGACGAACAAATGAACATCCAAACCATCCGAATGTTTCCTTCTCACTTTTTGGAGTTTTACTTCGTCATAGCAAATAAATCCCAGACTAAATTTATCGGTGTATGATTTGATTTTTACCAGATAAACTTGCATAGTGATATTGCGGTGGTCGGTGGAGAACTAATATGATTAATAAAATTATTCCGATCCTTCTAATTTCATTGAATAAATCCAGATATAAAATAATGGTTTGTGAATGAATAAATAACGTTATCTCCCAGCAAAGCATTTGACATGTTTTGTTGAAATCACATTGGCTTGTCCTTGATCTCTTCATTCACCATGGCCTTTTTTTATGGCAATTGGAGTCTCCATTTTAAAATAAGATAAGCTTCGACTTGGCCAAAGATAATACTCTCTCCTTCCAATTTTAAATTAGTTGGATTGGTTATTTGTCAAAAAAAATATGTATTGTTTTCCTTAAAATACTCCTTCCTTTATAAGCAATACATATATATAACCATATGAATAGTTTAAAAAAATAATAAATATGAAAGACAAAATAGATTGAGCTTACATTTAGAATTTAGAACCAAACCAACCTCCTCAACTAATTCATTAAAATAAGTATTATTTAAAATTATACCGGAATATTTTGCAAGGCTCATTCTTC